TGGTTAATCGTTACATCCCTACTCAGAACAGATTTGGAGAAATGTATCGTTATATCACTTGCTCACCAATGAATCCTCTGCAGTGAATGGGTGCCGTCAGAATGAGAGTCCAAACAGCTGATAAAAACATCACAATAATCTACAAGTAATTCACAAAATTCCATAAGTGAAAAGCTGCATGTTTGTAAGACTCACTTCACTTCAAACCATTGCTTATGGCTAAAATACGAGTCCATAATCCATAATATTGTTTTCTCCAGTGAAAAAGTCATCTCTTCTGAATCAGGAGAGAAATATGCACAGATCAAGCACCGTTTACAAGCCAGAATGGTTCAAAACAAATATGTAGGTGGATTTTGATGTGAGAGGATAACAGGAGATGGACTTTTTCACTGGATTAACCAATATTATGGATTATGGAGTCTTTTAGCCAGAAGCAATGGTTTAAAGTTAAATGGATTGGTTTCTTACAAACACAAAGCTTTTGGCTTCTCAAGATGTTAATTAATGGTCTGGAGTGGTGTGGATCACTTGTGGATTATTGTGATGTTTTATCAGCTGTTTGGACTCTCATTCTGACGGCACCCATTCACTGCAGAGGATCCACTGGTGAGCAAGTGATGCAATGCTACATTTCTCCAAATCTGATGAAGAAACAAACTCATCTACATTTTGGATACATTTGGGTGAGTACATTTTCAGCAAATTTTTATTTTTGGGTGAACTGTTCCTTTTATTTATTTATATATTTCGGTACTCTTAAGCGAGGCCTTCTGACAGTATTCAATCTTAATATTTGGCCAATATAAGGAGGTACTCACGGCTGGCAGAGCTTGACCAGGTCATGGTCGGTGGTGGTTGGTGGTAAACCACGAATGTAGAGGTTCGTTTTACTGAGCTGCTCCCAGCCGGCTGTGCTGCTGCTGCTGCTGTGATTGGTGCTGCTGTTGGTTCCAGGACTGGGCGGAGCCATCGGGTGGGAGGCGGGGCCAACAGGAGGCTAGAGGGAAGGACACAAAACAAACTGCGGTCAGAGTGGAACAAGGTCAAAGCAAACAGGGAAGCAAAAAGTAAACATTGGTAAAAGAAGCCATAAGCAAGTATACTGGACAGAAAAAAACAGACTACTAATCCAGAAAGCAGATGACTCTTCACCAGTAACAGTGGGACGTTTGACCAAGATCCATCATGAGCAATTTTACATCACAGTATATTAAATATATAAATCACAATATACGTATTTTGCTCAAAATTAAATGAAAATACATGCCTCAATTTATTAAACATTTCCTTAAATGTTAAACAGATCGCAATATAGCCTAAATCACAATGTACAGTATATGCTTTGCTTGAAATTAAATGAAAAACATGCCTCATTTTAATAAATATTTTCTCAAATATTATGAAAATCCAATGCAAAATAACAAAATATGTAAAATAGCTTAAATGCATAACAATTGAAATGCATGCAAAATACATGTTTTTTAATTGAAATCCAATTTGAAAATATGCCTAATTTTAATAAACATTTCCCAAACTTTTGCAGAAAATCAAATCCAAAATAAAATGTATAAAACAGCTGAAATATGTATGTTAAAATACTTCATCATAGGGCTGCACAATTAATCGAATTTCTAATCGTGATTACAATTACGTAATCGTTCAAAATGGCAATTAATCGTTTAAAGTCCACTTATGTTATTCTGCGTGCTCAAGATGTGTTTTTTTCTTTCTACAGGTTATCGTAAGAGTTTTTTCATTGTTTTAATTTTAGTTTTAATATAACATTATAATACCATGCATATTTTTTATTTTTTTATCATTTAAAGAAGAAACCAAACCAATGTATATATGACATTTGAGGCTTGAATTTCTAATCGTGATTACAATTACGTAATCGTTCAAAATGGCAATTAATCGTTTAAAGTCCACTTATGTTATTCTGGGTGCTCAAGATGTGTTTTTTTCTTTCTACAGGTTATCGTAAGAGTTTTTTCATTGTTTTAATTTTAGTTTTAATATAACATTATAATACCATGCATATTTTTTATTTTTTTATCATTTAAAGAAGAAACCAAACCAATGTATATATGACATTTGAGGCTTAGTACTATAGAAAAGCAATAAAAGTTTTTCAGTTAGAGTGTTTTCAGCTTCTTTAAATTGTGATAATCGTAATTAATAATCACAATTACAATTTCAAAGGAGTAAATCAACAATTATGATTTTTGTCATAATCGTGCAGCCCTACTTCATCAGTAATTTTACATCACAATAAATTAAAGATATATAATCACAATATATGTTTGCTTAAAATGTAATTAAAAATATGCCTCATTTTAATAAACAGTTTCCTACATTTTGAACAGAATCAAACGAAAAACAATGAAATGTGTAAAATAGCTGAAATGTGTAATTATTTGATGTTAAAATACTTAGTCATTTTAAATTACAGTAAATTAAATGCATATAATCACAATGTGTTTTGCTCGAAATTCAATTAAACAAACTTTTTACAAAATATTAATCACAATAAATGTGTTTTAACTTAAATTCAAATGACAAACGTGCCTCAATCTAACAAATATTTCCCAAATTATGAACAGATCACAAAATAAATCACAACATACATGTTTTTCTTGAATTCAGTTTTAAAAATATGCCTAATTTTAATAAACATTTCCCCAAATTTTGTAGAAAATCAAACACAAAATGTATAAAACAGCTCAAATGTGTTTCAAAATACTTTCTCAGTAAATACTTCTTAATTTTAAAAAACAATTTCCTACATTTTGAACAGAATCAAATACAAAATGTGTAAAATAGCTCAAATGTGTTTTAGTCATCATTACTGAAAACCACACATGATTCCCAAAACATCAATTCACACCCATGAGCCCAGCTGCATAACAAGAGACACATTTACATTTGTTAGTGAACCGCTGAGACTCTGGTGACACACCTTGTGAAACTGGGATTGTCCCAGGTAAACCGGGACGTCTGGTCACCCTATTATGAGATGAGATTATGAGTTATCAGATGAACAAGAGTGCCAAACCTTCTTCTTAAACCGTTTCTGCGCATTTTAATGCAAACTCAAGTGTAGAAATGTAAAAATGTTAGCAGTCTAGGCCAATTAACAACCCTAACAAAGAGCAACTCCAAATCTACTCAGCAAGAACAAACACCAAACATCAGCTTTATCTGAGGACTTATGCAGAAAATAGAATAATGTGAGCAAAACAGGAAAGCAGAGTGGTAGCTCTGATAAATCTGGACCTAAAGGAAGTGTGTTTATTGGGAATTTATAGCCTCCTCACAACAGGATTCACTTTTGATTCAAAGAATCATGATCTAAATCCAAAACAATTCTTGATACATTTCAAAGTTTCAGCAAGAGTGCATGGATCAAAAAACTTTGGCAAGGGAAGATATCTTATGCACACATTTTGTAAAGATTGCAAAACATGTCAAATATAAAATATGTCTGTTCTGACCCACCAACAGAGTACGTTTCGTTTTGCATATGCTTTTCAATAACCATAATTATTAATAATTAATTTTATGAATAACACCCTTTGGGTTTCAGTTTTTGGCCAAATGAAAATGGCAATTTTGGTTCCGGTAAAAAAATAATTTCAATGCATCATTACAAATAAGTGTTGCTTTTACAAATTCTACAACCCTTCAAAAAAATCTGCAAAAACAAACACTTTATCTGAGAACTTATACAGAAAACAGAAGAATAAAAGCATTTTTAGGCCCCTCACAGCTGGATTTGAAACAATTCTTGATACATTTCAAATTTTCAGCAACAGTGCATGCATACAAATTAGGGCTGTGCGATTAATCGAAATCGAATCGAAATCGCGATTTGAGACGTTGCGATTTCCTAATCGCAAAGCCTGCGATGTGGACGCGATATTACTCTGTTCCAGAGCATATGCATGACTGCCAGCCTTCAATTTGATATTTTCCCCCACATCGCACAGCCCTAATACAAATCTTTGGCAAGTTAATGTACGATCTTTCCCTCCACCCCTATAGTGTACAGGATCTGTTTCCTGAACCTCCTCCGCTCTGATGCTACACTGCTCGTGTTTGTCAGTGCGAGGATGAGTATCTGGCAGTGCTGTGATCCATATCTGCAGTGCAGTCTCTTCTTCTTCAGAAAGCAGTTGTCAGCATAAAGTGGGTCCACAGGGGCCAGAAGCTCTGACCTAGGAGCACGGCTGACGGAGAGGACGCTTCAGGAATCTAAAGGAAGTGAATGCGGCACGGGAGGCCGAGGGGTGAGCGCTGAACATTTCTATGTGCTGAACCCTTTTGTTAAAGCTTTGTTCTTAAGACGAGCTTGATATGCAACAGAACTAAAGCCATTCGTTTGATCTCAATGCAGGTGAATCCTGCTTGTTTTATAGAATTGAACATAGGTAGATCTGCAACAACTTCAAGAAGATCAATCATTATACATATGGTAAAAACTCATTCTAATTTGCACGCACAAAGAGCCTATCTGCATTTTATGTCATTTTGGGATGGGTTGAATTTTGCAAAACGCTACACCGTTTGAGCTAGAGACTTACAATTTCAGAAAGAAGTCTCATTTCTCACGGGAAACAAATATGCCTCAAGGACTCGTGTGTTATGAAATCAAAATATTCTCAGTATTTCACATTAGAGGTAAAACCTTTAAAAACGATTTTCTCTTCTTTACACATCATTGTTGGATATATCTTTTATGCACATTTTAAACGGATTTGTTGAGAAAAATATACTCCTTTTATTTTACATGATATTCCAATGCTGTGAATATCATAGGAACTTCACGTTTTCACTTGTCCCACGAACATGTCACCTTTCCATCCACAAGAACCAAACTGCAACTCTATGAGGAACTGATAATAATAACCATTTCCTGAAGGGATGACCACCAGCCTAAAATCATCCACTTGAGTCTTTCTCAATCAGAAGTTTTAATAAAACTGATGCAATACCGAAAGATTATTTTTTTTCAGAGCAAAAGAGAAGGAATATGAACCAACTAAAAAAAAAAGTCAACACAAAATACTCAAGCTCTAGAACCAAACTGCAACTCTATGAGGAACTGATAATAATAACCATTATTATGACCACCAGAAAAAGCCTAAAATCATCCACTTGAGTCTTTCTCAATCAGAAGTTTTAATAAAACTGATGCAATACCGAAAGATTATTTTTTTTCAGAGCAAAAGAGAAGGAATATGAACCAACTAAAAAAAAAAGTCAACACAAAATACTCAAGCTCTGTCAGGTATGAAAGAGTCTGATAAATTGTACAATGACTATTTTGGATGGATCTCTCAAATGGAAACACCCAAGCTCCACTGCTACAAACATCAAGTAAATGTCACGCCGATCCATACCAAACTTTTGTCTAATCAGAACAGCTTAAAGGTCCCCTGAAGTGACTTGAAACACGCAGCGTTATTCTATGTGGTGACGTAATTTCAACTGAAACAGGAAGAGAGGGCGGGACATATCGAGCAGACCCGCCCCCTTTTTAAAATAGCCAATAGCATTTTGCTTATATCTGCTCGGGCCAGAGCCGTAAAGCCGCATTTGACAGCCACAGTCTAATACAGGGGTGGCGAACTCCAGTCCTGGAGAGCCGCAGCCCTGCAGAGTTCAGCTCCAACCCTAATTAAAACTCACCTGCCTGTAGCTTCCTAGTAACCGTTCAGACCTTGATTAGCTTGTTCAGGTGTGTTTGATTAGGGTTGAAGCAAAACTCTGCAGGGGTTCGCCACCCCTGGTCTAATAGATTACCCCCTAGATTCAATATGAAACTCTTAGTAAAACAAAATAGTGGTCATAATCATTCTGAGGCTGTGTAGTTGTAAAGTTTTTAATATATGCCGACTCGCGCATATGATCCGCTCCGTGCGAGCCAAAGTCCGGATCAGACTGTGTGCGCTGACACGGTTCGCGTGAAACAACGTGAAACCAGACCTCATTTGC